TGTTCATCATCTTCTTCCTCGGGTCAGTTTTAACATTATCATTTTTAATCACCAAACTTCAATTTAATTATATAAAAATGTTCTCCAATGTTCACAGATCATTTTAGAGTCATTAATTCGTAATTTTAACAACAATTTAATTGTTTATGATTCTTGGTTCTTCAAACATGTCAAACACAAAACTCAACCAAACGACCGTTTATGAACGTAGAAACAATCTATATGAACATTCTAGTCACTAGATATATCTACGGGCTTACCTCGAAGCTTAACAGAGGTTTTGGAAATTTTCCGGCGAAACTTCCGGCGATGATTACTCCCCACTCCGGCGACTTCGGCGGCAACCAACAACACCAGACTGCTCCCTTCACTCTTATGAACACAATGGTATAATTTTCAAGAACATTGGTGCCAAATTGATAAGGATGGAGTATCCTTATATAGAAGAAGAGAAGGGGAAGAAGACATTGGTAGCTGACTCATTTCTACGTAGAAATTCCTTAGTGCGCAGGTCGGCGATTCTAATTGATCTACACGCCGTTCCCTGACCAATTTTGGTTCCAGTCGGGATACACTTTTTGGTCCAACTTTCTCCGAATTAAAATCTGTTTGCACCGTTGCGATCAGACAATCGAACTCTATCCAACGATATAATTTTTATATTCATTCGTTATACTTTTTCTGACACCACATTTTTGGGTGTTTGACTTTAACAGAGTCAAAATTGGTTTAATTGACCTTTCTCATAAAAGGTTCTCTCATTTAATTCAAATCAATTATTCTCATGATGTATTTCAACAAATCATTTCAATATTTACATTCTAAACAAATTCTTTATTTACACTTGATTTGGGTCTGTACTCAGGTTCCCAATCAAGACCACACAAATAGTCCACATATTGGATTTATCTCTATGAGACTTATCCAGATTTTGATATTAGATGTCAAAACAAATTTCATATCGGCCCAAAGCCCAACAATAATTTATTTTAATCAAAACAATTGTGATTAATTGATTATTTATTCATTAATAATTCTATGGTGATATGAATTATATATATGAGGAATTTACTTAAATAGCACTCATGCGGTGACAGTGAAAAATGAGATTATCTTGAAAAAAATGATGAAAAGATGGGATTATTTAAAACAATTTTCCAGAATAATATAGTGATATCAATTATATATATGAGGAATTTACTTAAATAGCACTAAAACATAATGACTTTCCCTAAATAGCACCACATGTGTTTTTCTTCCCACTGTAGCACTTTTAGTCATTATGCATTACTCATTATTCAAGTAAATATTCGTCATCACAGGACATTATGGACATTATTAAGTACTATTTAGGAAATAATACAATTTAAGTGTTATTTAGGAAAATGACTTAAGTTTTAGTGCTATTTAGTGCAAATATTTCATTATATATTTAATCATGCTACATCGAAAGATGTATAAATTATGTTATTATTGTCTTGAATTATTATTGGAAATTTGTTTTAAAAAATATTTTTAGAATTTAAAGTACCAATTATAATTAAATTTATGGAAATGTTTATTAGCGTATGATTTTTTTAAATAAATACTCTCTTCATCCACAAATTTTCTTTGTTACGACGTTTAAATAAAATTAGTTTTAATTCACTTGATATGATGATTCGTGTAAAGTTAAATAATAAAAAATACATATTTAAAAACGAGATCAAAAGTTTTATAAAGTTAGAGGTGACATAATTATATTATTTTCACACACAATAGGTATTAAATCTTTATTATAGAGCTTTGTTTTATAAGGTTTAAGGAAGAGGAATGAGATGAGAGTAGTTTTTTGCTTAGAAATCATCCTAAATAGAACTAAAACATAGAGAAAAGTATCAAAATAGGACTTTCATATTTTTTTCTCGAAATAGGACTTTGCATTATGGTAATGAGACTTTGCACTGTGGTAATGTGGCAGTGTGCATGTGCACATTACTATACTTTTTTGGTCATGTATATGACCATGTTTGGTAATATAAGTCCTATTTCGGGAATAAAAACATGCAAGTCTTATTTTTGTATATTTTCAATGTTTTAATCCAACTTTGGTATTTCTCCTTTTTTTGCTTTGTTCGTAGAATTAGAGGATCCAAGCAATTACAAAGAAAATGGACATTCATCTATAGGAAATATAATCATTTTTTCTAAAAAAAAATGATTTCCTACTACTTATGTAACCAAATAAAATTAGATTTAGATTCTTTAAAAACTATTTTCCTCACAACAAAAAAAGCTCTAAAAGTCAGAATTCAAAAGAACATTGTCTTCAATAAAAAAATTATACTCCTTCTGTCCCTTTAAACATGGGATGTTTTTATTTTGAAGAGATTTAAGGAGAGTATAATTTGGTATTGAATTTCCAAAAATGTTCTTTGATGTGATAGGTAAAAGTAAGATTTGATGGGTAGATAATTAGTAAAAAAGTATGATGTGATAGGTAGTGTATGAAAAAGTAAGGGGTAAAAGCAACTTTTTTATTAAAATAAGAAATGTTTTTTTGGACGGATGAAAAAAGAAAGGAAAAAGGTTTTCCGGGACGGATGAAGTAGAATATAACAAAATTGCGTTCCATCCGTGCATGGCACGGGTTAAAACACTAGTTAATATTAATAGCTATATATGTGGAGTGTGTGGGTGTGTATGTATATATATTTGGTTTAGGTGAGAACAAGATCTTTAAACAAATGAGAATACATGTGGTGCTTTAGAATGTGAGATCTAAGCGTTATAAAAATTTGAAAACAAGAAAATTTAGGAAAATCGTGGTGGCAATTTTGTATATTAATTGAATTGTGTAAAATGCACTACCTATTATGAAAAATGCACCATGGTGAACAATATGATTTATAAAATGAATTATAGGCAAACAAAAATGAATCATTCATTCATATATATATATATATATACATACATATATATATATATATATACATACATACATACATATATATATATATATATATATATATATATATATATATATATGAACGATTCATTTTTGTTTGCTAATAATTCATTTTATAAATCATATTGTTCACCATGGTGCATTTTTCATAACAGGTATATATGTATGTATATGTGTCTATCTGTGTGTGTGTGTGTGTGTGTGTGTGTATGTATGTGCAGCACTGCTGTGTGTGTGTGTGTGTGTGTGTGTGTATAGATTGACTCTAGTGAGATGACACCTTATGGTGAGATGACGCCAAGCTCACCACATTACACTACAAAACTCACCAATGGCCAATACAAAGCTCACTTAGAAATAAAGCAAAGCTCGCCACTTTGAACATTAAACCTCACCTTTTTTTAATTTTGAAATTTAAAAAAAGTAATTAAAAATTCAATAGTAACATCGGTCAACCACAAGTCAGCAACGACGTCCGACGACCGGCAGGCAGAGCAGCGGCGGCGGCACGGCAGCGGTCTGAAGTGGCGATCAACGGTCAAAATCTAGTCAGCACCCCTTCCTTTGATTTTAGTTTTTTCAAAAAAAAATTAAAGTGTTAAAAAAATATGGTGAGCTTTGCCTTAGAGATTGGTGAACTTTGTAATTGTCCTAGGTGAGCTTTGCAGTGGCCAGTGGTGAGTTTTGCGTTATCTGACCATAGCATGTCATCTCACCGTAAGATGTCATTTAACTGGAATCAATCCTCTGTGTGTGTGTGTATATACATACATGACATACATACATAGATACATACATACATACATACATACATACATACATACATACATACATACATACATACATACATACATACATACATATATATATATATATATATATATTCTAATGTGTATATGAACTAATCATAAAAATATTAAATCAATATTGTTATTACATAAAAAAAATCATAAAATAATAATATTATTACATTATAATATGAATGATTATTATAATATATGAATCAACTAATTTTATTTCATTAAAAAATAATTATAAAATAAAAAATATTGATTATATTATAATATGAATTATCATTAGAATTTTCAAAAGTTATTATAAAGTGAGATCAAATTATTGATTTTAATTTTAAATCAAATCATAATTAATCAGATCAGATTCAATTAGATTGGATCAGATTAGATCCAATCAAATCAGATCTAATCAGATAAGATTAGAACTACAAAAACACAGACTAGAAAAAATAAGTTGAACGGAACGGAACCTTAATCGGGGAACTGAACTCAGCATTATTTCCAATTTACGAATATCAACTTGAAAATTAATTAATTTTAGAGACTAATTAAAAAAAATTATTATTAAGTCCCATTTTAAAAATTTACTCGTTATAAAATTAGTGATCAAGAAATTTAAAAAGTTATAGACTACTTTGATACGAGGTCCAGATAGTGTCCACCGTGAACGGAGATGGTGTCCACCGTTAATGGATAGGGTTTTGGGATTTGTGGATTCTGTGAATCTCTCCTTCTCTATTCTCAAAGCTTTAACCTCTGAGCAACAATGTCGATTTTGTCCACAGCTTCTTTCTCTTCCTCCGTTTTTCTCTCTACTCCTTTCCGGCAAGCCCCATCAAAGCCCAGATTTATGAAATTCCCAAAGCCCAAAGCATATCGATCTGCCGCTGTCCGCGCAGAACTGGCGACCCTCCCGGTCCTCTCTTTCGACGGAGAGGAGGTTGGCTCCGCCACCCTCGACCTGAAATCGGCCCCGCCCTACACCGCACGCGCCGTCGTCCACCGCGGCCTTACCACCGACCTCCGCAATAAGCGCCGCGGCACGGCTTCCACCCTCACCCGCGGCGAGGTCCGCGGCGGCGGCAAGAAGCCCTACCAGCAGAAGAAGACGGGCAATGCTCGTCGTGGGTCTCAGCGCACTCCTCTCCGGCCCGGAGGCGGAGTCGTGTTTGGGCCCAAGCCCAAGGACTGGTCCGCCAAGATAAACAAGAAGGAGAAGAAACTGGCCATTTCCACGGCCCTTTCCAGTGCGGCCCGGAGCTGCATTGTCGTTGAGGAATTCGATGACAAATTTAAAATGCCCAGCACTAAACAGTTCATAGCAATGATGAAGAGGCTGGGGCTGGACCCAAAGGAGAAAGCCATGTTCTTGATGACGGAGATGTCCGAAAACGTCATTCTTTCGAGCAGAAATGTTGCGACATTGAAGATGCTAACGCCCCGGACTATGAATTTGTTCGACATCTTGGACTCGGAGAAGCTAGTGTTCACGAAATCAGCTGTTGATTTCTTGAACCAAAGATATGGAAATGACGAGGAATTTGAAGACGAAGAAGGTTAGTTACACGCTCCTTTCTGCGATTCGTATGAACGTTTCTTTTTATAAAATGTGGTATCTTTAGGGTTAAAGTTTTGATTTTTAACGCAGGAGCCGAGGAGGATGAAAATCTTGATACTTCAGAGTGATCTGCAGCTAATTGCATTTTTTCTTTACATGCGAAATCTTTGTTTTGTGTGTTTGTGTTCTTCTAAACTGATCCATATATAGGTTCACTTGAAGAACCACTGCCTGGTTCAATGCCATGGCATTCATTTGTACTTCCTTCACTCATGTATAAAAGTGTAATGAGTGAAAACACATTGGGTCATTTTATGATATTGGCTCTCTGGTTTGTCTCTCCCAAATTGACGCCGAGCCATTCTTTTCTTAAAGAAAGAATTTGATACCAACAACTCGTGTTGTAGTAGCGAAATCTGGGAGCGCGCCTGTTGGAACCAAACTATGTTTGTTTAAGGTTTTGATTCATATAAATTGTAAGTCTAGTAGGTCTCAACTACAATGAGACATTTGCGCTTGTTAAATGAACCCTTGTTCATACTTTGCTAGTTAATGGAATTTCAAAATGCATTTTACATAGAGATTTATCTGAAGAGATGTTTATGCAATTACCCTTAAAATTCAAGCCATGTATGCCTCTTGTGTGGTGTGCAAATAGAAGAAATTTACTAATTTTAGTTGCATTTTACTATTCACATAGTCAAATTTCAACTATGTTACTCCCTCTGTCCTAAAACGTTTTTCCTACTTCCCTTTTTTCTCCGTCCTAAAACTATCTTCCAACTTCCAAAATTAGAATACTCAATGACTAATATACCCCCTCACCATTGACCCCAACCTTCCCACATCTACGCCAATCTCAATCTTTCAATAATGTCTTCCTCTCTTTCTCTCTTCCCACTCCGATCCGTTTGCAGATCTAATCTTCGCCGCTCAATTTCAATCCGGTCGGATTTGTTTCTTCGCCGGAATGATTGTGCCTAACTTCAATCTGGTCAGATCTAATCCTCGCCGCCAAACATCTCCCCAATCCGATCGTAGATCTAATATGGTCAGATTTGTTTTCCGATTGTCAATGTCATAGCCTAGATCTATTTTTTGATGGTCGCTACCCTAGTCCATTGTCGTTTAAGTTGCGAGGGTGCACCGGAGCAGTAACCCACATCCATCTCCAAATAATTGTTGCCGTCGCCACCGTTCCTATTGTTGGTGCCATCTCCCGGCGTCACCAATCTCCCTCAACCTCTCCCTGTGTTGCTATGTAGAATTCGAAAAGAAAGAAGATTCCTTTCTTCATTCTTGAGATCTGCTTTTAATTAAAGAAAAAATATGAGATTTGGTAATTTTTTGGAACTTTTGCAGTGGTTGTTTGAATTTTGTTAAATTATACGGAGTACAATGAATCCTTCAATGTTGTTCTTTCTTTCTTAGAAATTCTTTCTTTTTAGAATTCAATACTTGCGTATTACGGAGTATGATTTTTTTTTTTACAATTGTTTGATTTCTTATTTTAAAGCTAAGGGCATATATGGAAAGTCAATGCATATTTTACACTCCCTTAAAAACGGCTTATAGTCAAACCGGGAAGCTCGTTTTAGGACGGAGGGAGTATATTTTTTCGTTACTCATTTGAAAAAATAATACTCCGTATTGTCTTGTAATCTTATGTTTTGTAAAACTTTTGATGTAATTTTTAAAAACCATAAATTTTATTTTTAAATTTCATATAAATTTACAAATAAATGAAATTGAAAATAACTTTTATCAAATCTCGTAAACAATAATAGATGATTTAATTTCGAACCAAGGGAGTATATGACTTGAAATCTACTACAAGATGTTGGTTTGCAAAGCTTTCTAGTGCTCTTGAAAATGTGTTTGTTCAATTCATATCTGATTATTTGTTGTATACTTGCAACAATGGAATATCCATTTTTATAACCTTTTTTATGTTGACGATATGATGATTGTGAGTAATGATGGTGATTCTATTGCTCATATCAAAACTAATTTGTCCTAAACATTGAATTGTTCCTTTTAGTCCTAAACATTTAATACTTCCTCCATCTCGGAAAACTTTTCCAGTTTTGACTTTTGAGAGGAGAAGATAATGAAGTTTGATCCAGGCAAAACGATGATAATTGAAGCAAATTAGACTTAAAAAATGTCAAAATGGAGAGCACAGAAAATAGTTGAGATAAGTTTGTTTAGATTAAGAAAAATAAGGATAATTGTGTCCATTTAGACAAAATTAAAATGTTTTATGAAAAGTGTAAGAAGTGAATTGAAATATTATGGAAGGAGTAGTATCTAACAAAAATACACAAAGAAATACGAGTAAAAGAAAATTCGACCAGTAAACGTAAATATCCTTTTAGAACGGGAGTGTTTTTAGATGATTGATACCGAATTTTTTTTAAAAAGAATTCGGCACAATCGAATAAACCACCTTACATGACTCATTCCCCAAACGCATGTTCTTACAGTTCTTACTTTTTTTATGTATATATACAAGCGTGCATATATTCAATACAGTAGCATATGATGGGCAGTCAAAAGTACATGTATGCAAATAATAACTGACATCAAAGGCCTTCACATAGATACACCACTCTGACTACCAAATGGTAATTACACACATGAAAAGCTTCATGTCAGGAGGAGTCCTATAGATAGAGACACAGAGACCCTTTACCACCTTACTATACATACACAAAGGTCAGAGTGAATCCATGCCAGAATTGCCCTTGGAAACAATATTTTAGTGTTTCTGAATGAGGACAAAGAAATTAAGCCAGAGTGGTCGGTCGGTCGTTCGCTCATGTGATGTCATCACCCAGAACTCGCAGGTTGCAGTTGGAGAAGAGACGTCTGATTGCCCTTCAAGAAATGTGAAAGTTCGGCTGGGGCAACAACCGATCTTAACAACTCTTGCAGTTCCTCGCTTTCAACCTTCTCTTTCTCTGCATGGCCAAACTTTCTTTATATTATGGACAGAAATTTTCTTCATGTTTTCCTTTTTGGAATGTCCCAGAAATTTTCTTGTTTCCTTTTAAGGAAATAATTGTATGGGTCATATTCTCTCTCTCGTCCACACAAACCTCAACCACACCTTTTAGTTTATCAAAATGCAAGCCGAGCAATACCAGACAAAACTTATGTGGCAGAGTATATGAGAAAGAGACAGGAAATGGTCCCTTTTTCTCCCATTTCTTCTAATGTGAGGGAAGAAAGAGTGAAGGGCTCCATATAATTTTACTCTCTTCCAATTTTCCCAGTCTACCAAATTAGTGAAAACTTGCATTTCTACACTATTTCTACTATGCCAAACCAAACCACAAGTGTTTGGGTATGCCCAAAGAAGAGAACCATACTTCCCTACGAACAATTGAAGGTGATACAGAAAGAAAAGAAAGGCTCGATGGATTAATACCTTCCAAGCATGCTCCCAAACCTTCCAAAACAGTCGAATTGGCACGCACAACGCATAGAGCCACTTCAAGTGCAGAGTGAAGGAGGGATTTGACTTCTCTTTGAACAAGATCAACGAGTTGTCCCTATCATTTTACAGCTGTTATATTACTTGCACACACACACACCGAAGAAGAAGAAGAAGAAGAAGAAATTACGCAAAAATATGCCATAGGTGAGTGGGGGGATGTGTACCTGATCTTTTCCCCAGAGGGAAGATCCTGAATCATCCGTACCACCACCAGAAAGAGTTGCCAATGAAACAGGGCCTATAGTCTCATTCAGACCATATTCCGCAATTGCCTTGTATGCCATATCTGTGGCACGGCGTATGTCGTCCAGTGCACCAGTGGAAACACGTCCAGAATAGATCACTTCTTCAGCAGCACGTCCCCCAAGAAGAGTGACTAATCTCCCACGTAGTTCGTCAACAAACAGCAAATATCTGTCCTCATTGGTTGGAGGGATGTAAGTGAATCCTAGTGCCCCTCCAGATCTAGGCAGTATGCTTAGTTTCTGTCAGTATTAAATTTGAAAAAAAGGGTGTTACACTTGTGTGCCTTCATGCTTTTTATTTTCACAGTTAGTACCTAGTCACAAATACATCATTCTAATATTTTCTTCATACTTCCTCTGTCATTCACTGCAAGTTGGAACATTCCACCAAGACAAAGTACTGTAGTTACTATTTTTTGGGTTGTCCCAAAAAATTGCTGTCCTATTACTGAAAGATTTGTGCGGTTAACATTGTTTCTAATAAGCGTAACCAATCAAAGGGGAAGAAAATTTTAGAACAGAGTTAAAAACAATATCATGCAAAATCTCATTGGAAATATTAGTTTTATTCACATCATAGATTGCATAGACTCAATGGGATGTCCAACAGTACTCAACAAACGTTCCCTATAAGAGAAACATCTTGTGCATTAAAAGTCAAAACTCGTGTTATCACAATTTAAGAAGCTACTGAAATCTCCCAATAAATGTCTCGAAGATGTGAAAGTGAAATCTCATGCACAAACATATAAAACTGGGAAGCATATAACAATTTCGACAGTCACAAAAATGACAACTTGGTAGTTAGCATGGATATCAGAGACAAAATGTCATGTCCATGATGCCATAAACTCAAACTCCCCAAACAAACAAAAAAAAACATATTCAGAATAATTATCATTTACATTGTAAATCTATTCAATATTTATTGTAGAAATCAAGAGAAACAGATATAAGAGATATACTAGAGTAGAAAGACAACCAATGACAAATATTTGTAAGGTAGTACAATTGGGAAGTCATCTATTACCTCAACCCGTGGTTGCCCGGGGAGAAGACTTGCAACAGCAGTACCTACTACAGCATGACCTGCTTCATGACGTGCAACTACGGCTTTCTCGTTTCCCTGCAACTTTGAAGTCTTCTTTTCTATTCCCTGTAGCATTACGAATGGAGTTCATTAGGGTCATATTTACATTAATGGTTTTTAATACAACAGTCTACAAATGCAAAATGAGTACCGAGTAATATAAGTACAACTATGTTATTTACTGCCTAAGGATCTATTTGGATGGAAGGTTGGGGATGGATTTGAAAGGGAAGGCTTTGGAGAATAAATTGTGATCCAAATGTTAAACGACCATATAGTATTGACTAATCCCACAACCCCCACAAACCCCTTCAAAGCCCTCCCACGTAAACAGGCCGTAAGTAAAGCGCAAGACCTGAAGAAGTTTCAGAGACTGGAAAAATGAGAGAAATCCAAGATATGAAAGATTTCAAAGATATAAATCCAAGAAAAATTAGAGAATCCAAGGGACAAACAGGTATATGTGCAGTGTTTGTGTGTGTTGGTGAGACTGTGAGTGAGCGTGTGTGCCGCAAACATAAAGTGGAGGGAGAGGGAGAGAGAGTGTGAGACAGAGACCGCAATTGACCGTTCTACTGCTTGAATGAAATCAAACTTTTCAACCAGAAGCTTAGTTTTCCGTCCTGCCAATAAAGCCGCCTCATTTACCAAATTTGCAAGGTCTGCCCTGAACAACATCCAAAAAGAACAAGGATATTGTTTATACATACACGTTTTTTAAAAACAACACGAGACCATACCTCATCAAAATATATGCAGAAAAAATACCCAGTAAAACCAGTCGTCATAGAAGCAATATCACCAAGATCGACATCTTGACCAAGAGGAAGTTTCTTCTTCGATACATGTACGTTGAGAATAGCTTCTCTACCAGTCCGATCTGGTGCTTCCACCTTAAATAATTTAGTATATTTTTATAAGTTATTGACGAAAATATAAAGGTAAATGTATACTAAATATAAAACAGCTACAAGGCAAAGGTAAACAAACCATAACCACGCGATCAAACCTTCCGGGGCGTCGAAGGGCAGGGTCTAACACATCAGAACGATTAGTAGCGCCAAGAACAATAACAGCAGAGTTACTGTCAAACCCATCCATCTCCTGCAGAATAATGTTTGACAATTCAGCTCTACCTGTGTACCCTAGGCTAGTTAAAAAAGTGGAGCAATATGCATATGAAGTCCTACTGTAAGCAGCTGGTTTAATGTCTGCTCTCTTTCATCATTGCTAACTCGGAATTTACCATCACGGCTCTTAGCCACAGCATCAATCTGATATCCAGACAACATGCATAAGTTATGCTTTAGGATTTTGGAATAGAAGTGCAAACATTAGAGTTGCTACTTTTTTTCTTCCTTTTATCCTCTTCTACTCCAAGAAGAGGAGATCTGACCATTGTCAGTTGAAGGTTTGTTTCTGCAAGAGGAGATTGTTGTGAAAGGAAAGAAATACCTCATCTATAAATATGATTGATGGAGCTTCTTTCTTTGCACGAGCAAACAGGTCCCTCACACGAGATGCCCCCATTCCAACAAACAGTTCTACAAACTCACTTGCAGAGCAACTGATAAAGGGAACATCAGCTTCTCCAGCAACAGCTTTTGCTAAGAGTGTCTTACCTGTCCCAGGTAAGCCTACCTGTGAGATAATCAGAACTGCTTTTATTATGAACAGCTACAATCAGTCAGATTAACAATTTGGAGATGTCATTGGAGATATAATAATATTCATATATATATGCATAGCAAATACGGTTGGTAACCCCATTAATAATTTAATATTGTACTCCGTACAAAACAATAAAAATGGGGGAGACGACCATAAAGTATTGAACTATTGGCTAGTGGGAGAGAGGCAGGCGGTCAAAAGACGGACGGAGGGACAAAGCCCAAAAATAGCAAGGACATTTTAAAAAATTCTAACCACTCTTGGAGCTTGTTCTCTACAACTTATTCTTATTACTTATTATCATATATCAGAAGCAGCTTTAAATATAAACCATATCATACCTTAATAAAACCATATCAAACCATATCGGATCCAATCAAATCAGAGGAAGAGAACATGTTCTTAATCCCCGTGCTATTTTCAAATTTGGAGATCAATTTGAGAAGAAGCAAAATGGTTCTTAAAACTGTGTGCGCTTCTTTTAACAGTGAAATCTCAGTTAGTCAATGCAACTTTCGACGCTCATCATGGGTCATCTGGAAACAACCGCTCTATGTTTTAAACATAGGGGTCAGGTTGCGCACGTGATTACTTGTGGTGATTGAGCTGGGGGTCTCTTTGGAAACAGCCTCTCTACTTTCGTGTAGGGGTAAAGTCTGGGTACACGCACCCTCCCCAGACCCTGCTTTTGTGGGATTCAACTGGGTTGTTGTTTTTGGAGATCAATTTGAGACAGAAGTGGTAGACTCTAAAAATAACATAAGTGCTTGGACACTTAATAGATCTGGAAGTAATCATTTTTTTGACAATAGCACAACTTCCCTTTATGTTTCTATGTACAGCAATGATATGTTGCTTTAAAGAACTTTGCATGTATCCTTACATGTACAAATTTAAATACACTTAACTCACCAGGAGAACACCTCGCGGGGGACGTGCACCAAGTCGTGTATATCTGTCAGGATTCCTTAAAAATTCCTAAGAAGCATGCATAAACTCATCATTAACACCATGTGATGATCAAATGAACAGGATACTATCAACAGATATGCATATTGAAGGAAATATGTGAAAAGTACAAAAATACCACTATTTCTTCTAGCTCCTCTTTGGCCTCATCAACACCTGCAACATCAGCAAATGTGACAATGTCACCTTGCTCACGCACATGTTCTCCTTTAGAACCCCCAGATTTACGGGTCTTGAGCTGACCAGCTGCATTCTAAAAATATACTGAACTTAATCAGTCTCAAATCTATATATTGCAAAAAAAATAAAAAGTAACTCCCAAGGAAAACCACATTAGGGTACATACCATACTCACATTGGACCGATGTAAAAGACCAGCTAGGACAGCAACATGGAAAAGAGCCATCTGGAAATATACAAAATGAACCAAGTTTAAAGTAACTTAATACCCATTCACTTCAAAGAATTAAAAAAAAAACCTTCGTCTTGAAGACACCAGGCGACGAATATAATGAAATAATTAATCTCATACTTATCTACAACTATTTATCCCAAAGAATTTGGAAAGAGAATAAGAAAAATAAAAAATTTGTTACTGCAAAGTATAGCAGGAACAAGTTTTGGATATTTTATTTAGAATTTTAGATTAGACAAATAAAAATTAGGGGCTGTTTGTTTCAGCCTCTTAATGGTTCAGATGTCTGAATGATTCAGCACTTAATGGTTCAGACTGTTTGTTTCAGTCTCTTAATGGTTCAGATGTCTGAATGGTTAAGAGATTTGCCTCTGAATGGTTAAGTATTATACAGAGTCTGAATGGTTAAGAGCTCTTATCTGAATCGATCAGACATTTGTCTCTGAATAGTTAAGCAATATACTAGCTCTTAATGGTTCAGACCTCTTACTGGTTCAGCACTTATCTATTCAGAAGTTGCCAAACAGCCCCTTACAGTAGGAAATAGTGCTAGTGGTTTATTGAGAAACATTAACTGAAAGCCACTCCATATTGAGATAATAGTTAAAGGTAGTACAAGAAATTTGTAATCTAGGTAGTGAATTTATAACAGTTGAAGTTGAAATCTATCTAACAGTCAAAAGCAGTGGGAAAGAGTAACCAAATGCACAATCACAAGAAGAAAAACACCTGAGATGACTCATAAAACGACACGATGCCTAGAATGCACTATGCTATCATACACGTTGTGTTGATGTTCCGATACCACTTAAGTTGTTTTTGAGAAGAAACAAAAAAAATCATCGGGGAAAAACAATAATAGGAAATATTAGTAAAGTCTAGTTTTTTTTGTGAGTATATACTAAAGAGACTTCATATCCAGGATCTCATGCTTGTTTTCAGGTTCTTTTTACAATGTATACTAATAGCATTTGGCTATAAAGGTAAATAACCACTCATTTAGCAAGTAGCAAGTAGTGTCAGCTATTGATGTTTATATAATATTCTCAAATATCCCCCATAGAAGCTATGAACAAGATAGAGCCCACCTGTGCAGACAGAACAAGAACCCATATAATCCAAACACTCTAGGCTCTAGGGTCAAGATGTAAGGAGTTTTACTATGTAAAAACAAGAAGATGGCAAAAACAGAGGGCGTTAGACCCTAGATGCATTGCTGCATTTACTGCTCAAAACTTCATAGAAAGGAGAAGTGAGAATTTTAATGTGTCTTATTGATTTGATTTTGCTCATTATGTGCCCGAAGCTAAAACATTTCCAATATTCACTCTTTTAGCTCCATTGGCAATGGATGGAAATAAATGCATCAATGTGAAAGTAATTTTCTTTAATATCTCACAGCCAAGAACTTTACCAATGCTGAGCCCAGGAACCCGCCAGAACGCTTTTCTGGTGACCCAAACTCCACGTTATTCTCCAGCATCTTCTCATAAGGAGTCTTGATATCATCAGGCCGTGTTGTGGTGTACAAAAGCCTGTTGGTGTGCTCAGACTCCTGCAGCTTACTGCTCCCACTCCCAGCCTCGCTCTCAACCACGCCACTCATCCCTTCATTCTTCAACTTGAATATGATGTGAACTCCATCAACCTCCACCTTCTGAACCTGATCTGTGTTTACCTTATTCAAGAACTCGCTGTAAGGAACATTTACAACTGCAAGAGGTGCCATTTGCTCCACCCCAGGCAAAGGAATCCCTGGACGGAGCAATCTCATGAAGAACATAACTAACCCCAATTGCAATAACACTCCGATTTCCTGTGCTTGAACTATGGGTTGCCAGCGCCACTTCGACCACCACAAGTCCCCTTTCCCTTGCCTTTCTTTCCGAGACGAACCCGAACTTGAACCGGAACCCGGAGATGATTTGCTCTCAGTGGTAGTAGCATCCTTTGGGTCATTCGAATCAGTGCCTTGTTCACATGAACTATTAGCCCTAACTATAATCCCTCTAAATCTGAGGCACCTGTTCTGCAGGAAAGTCGAAGAAACCCTAGGCTGAGCTCCGAGCAACGAAGGATTAACGATCAAATTACTCGAACTCCCTTGGAAAAGCCAACAACGATTGCAAGAGGCTATTGTCTGCCGGTAAAAGTACTTGGGATTCAATTGCCAGTTCAACGAAATTTGGGCGTGAATTATCGGCTGGAGACCTTCCACTGTGCCCATTTTCAGACGGAGAAAAGAAAGCGAGTCGGAGATGGATTAACAGATAGATACGAAATCGCGGATATGTTTCAGATTGACAAGGCGCTTATAGATGAGGACGATGATGTACGGGTGAAATGGACTCGACACACCGGCCCAGTAACTAAATGTATTGTCCAAACCCACTTAAAAGTGGTCCAGCCTTCGGGTTTTACCACAAGGGATTCATGTTGTATTTTGGTTTACAAAATTGTGAAAGCTTGAAGATGGGTACAAAAATTGCGTGTTAAAAATGATCTTAAAGACCTCTATTTATATTCCAAAAACATGTGTGACCAATACTAATTAATACTTTTTTCGTCTCGAAAAAAAATATTCATTATGATTTTTTGGTCATTTTTTAAGGAGAGTTGGTAATGGAATGAAAAATGTCTAAAATGCCTCTTCATTTTCCCCCTTGCCCCTGCCCCCCCACGAGCCCCACAACCATAGTACCACCCTCACGCCGCTGCTAGCCTCCCCATCACTATCGCCAGCAGCCAAACCCCACCACCACCCCCCTTGTTCTCACCATCTCCATCAGCCCCCGCCACCATCACCGTCAGCCCTTTCCAAAATTACCAGATGACCCACACAGATTTGGGAGAGGAGATAAAGAAGAGGGGGAGGGGTTGAGGAGGAAGGGAGGAGAAGATTAAGATTTGAAAAATTTAAAAAAAAAGAGGAAAAAAAGAAGATGAAAATAGGAATATCCGTAAGAAAGAGAACTTAGTAGAAGAAGAATGGTGGAGAAAGAGTCTGTGGAGAAGATTTCGTAAGAAGAGAAAATTTTGCCAGAATAGTCTATGGTCGTAGTCTTCTCTGGATTTCTCCAGAAGAGAAAATTTCTACGGAGAAGAAGTAGTAGATAAGAAAAAAGAAGAAATGAAAGAGAAAGATAGAGGGGGGGAGAGAGAGATACCAGCAATGTAGATCTTGAAGAAGAGGAGAAGAGAAAGAAACTGAGGAGATAAGGGGAGGAAAAAAGAAAAGGGAATGGGTAAGGGTATTTAGGGTAGATTGTGTGTTAAAAGTTGAAATGAAAACTTTATTTCCAGGCGGAAAAAAAGAAGAAACAAGAGCTTGATTTCTGGGTGGAGGAAGTACTTTGTATAATAATCAATTGACACAAAATCAACAATATAAAAAATCTGATCAAGATAGGCTAACAATCGATTGTCATTTGTCAATGTGTTACAATCGATAGTTGGTTAAAATCTTTGACACTCAATAAAAAATCTAACTATTGGGAGACAACGATAACAATCGCGATTGGTTGTCTATAATTGATAGTCGATTATTTGGTCTTTCAAAATATCTGAGACAAAAGTTTGGATAGACTAACAATCGATTGTCAAATGATGATAATCGATTTTTTGAAGCTTTCGACTGTTGAAAACAAAACATAATCGATTTTCATATGGTGACAATCGATTGTTAGCCCCAATTTTCAAATGCCAACAAACTAATGACAATTGAGAAATGTTAAAGCCAAAACACCAACTGATAATTGATTATCAATATGATATGTGACCCTCAATTATTGTCTTATTTCTCTGCCAAAAACAAAAGCCAAAAGTCTTGGTCATTTTTTAAATTTGGTTCTCAACAAAAATTATTTTTAGAAAATACTAATTTTGACTCTAAACACTAATGTTGAATTGTAATATTTGAATTAAGGTCTAGTAAAAGAAGATGAAATTGGATGATATGCAAGATAATGGAATCAAAACTAAATACAAGAGACAAATGAAAGAAAGCCTAAGTTAGAGATTTTAAACCAATAGTGGAAGTTGCAAGGAGTAAGAGCACAAAGAGAAACCGGCTAGAGAGCCGACAAATCACCTTGTTTCTCGCTTTAATTGAATAAATAAGCTCCTCAAGATCCTCCACTTTCGTGGTTGGACTTGAGAGTATAGACTCACGGCTAGGCTTCTAAATCTTGATTCCTCGGTGACTTAGAACCAATTCTGAAACCTGAGCATGTCGTCATGACCAACAACAAAATTATAAGCATGAATAAAGCACAATCTCCCTAATGAATTTATATTAAGTTCTTATAATCCACAACCATTCAAAAACAACAAACACAAATCAACAATCCATCACCAATTTAGGCTAGGTAAGCTAGTCTTGAATCTTGATGCTTAAATCTAAGAAAGGAATCGAATAAGAAAAATGAAAATAAGTTTAAAAACACGAATGTGAAGGAGAAATTAATTTTTAAAACTAAAGAAACAACTAAATAAATTTTAAGAGTAGATTTTATAATTAATTCTTTATTACAGGGGTTTTCCGTACTTATGGTCTTTCTTTTAGGGGCATACTTTCATGGATAATCTTTTTTAATGATCTTCTGTCAAATTGGTATTAATTTAAAAGAAAAAGAAAATGTTCACATTTATCATATATCTTTCTTGTGATACTCAATGCCAAAGGTCGTTGCTGACGTGTCTTTTGTCGGGTCGCTGTCTACTACAATCATAGTATAAAAGTATTGTCTCAACTAGTTGTTGGCCTTGAATGTCAAAACCTCATAGATGTTTTGATGTACCAAATAAGTCTTTTAAAGCTACTAACGTTTTTGCAAGAAAAATCGAACACCCAACCTCTCCTAACTTGATTCACCTCATCAAGAAGATACTCATACGAGCGTAGAAATAAAAAAACGTAAGGGTTTTGCTATTGGGATTATTTCGATAAGGAACAAAAATCAGTTTTTGAGAAAAAATTTCAGGCCAAATGGTACCCCATACCGTTAGCACGGTATTTAGGTACTGTCCTAGTACCTAAGGACCAATAGAGGTACTAGTTGGTGTAGGTTACGGCAGAACCAAATAAACTAAGACGGTACCCCTTACGGTAAACCCTACCGTATTAGACGGTATCTCAATACTGTCCCAGTACCTAGCTACTAGAACAGGTACCGGAACCGTTGGAGTACTGTTATTGATTTTCCATTTTGAATTTAATCAACCCCAAATCACTCTCCAACGTCCAACGGATCTAAACTTATTCTAATAACTTTTTACCATTCATAATCATATATAAACCCCCCTATAAGCCACATTTTCACAACAACAACATCTAATATCATTCTAAGCCTTTTCTCTTATTCTTGAGTGTTCTGAAAGCTATTTGCTCTTAATATTTTTATTACCCTTTTAAGATATATTTCATTATTCAACTTTAATTACTCACACACGATGGCTTTTGTGCTTCATCATTTTTATCTTACCCATAGGCTTTGTTGTTGTTGATTTCATTTTTGTTCTTCTTCTACCCAAATCCTGAATTTCTATCATTTGGTAGAGAAGCAACACTTTATTCTCTTATTTTGTAAAAGATGTGAATAACCTATAAATCCTCATCGTGTTGAAAGGTTAAATATAGCCTTTTAAATCTTCATTTGTAAGAGGTCGAGCTAGCTTTTGTAAAATCTCACCATTTATTGGCAAGGGTTGTTTGCCAAATCTCGATCGATACCAATTGTTAGACAAAATGTGCAACTTTAGAGGGGGTGAATAAAGTTGTTTTCATGAATGAGCATTTTTCCGTGTGTGTATAACCGAAATAAAAAATTGCAAGAAATATGTAAAGAGTAAGGGAAAGAAGAACATTGCGATGCATACTGGTTCACCACCTCGTGGCTAGTCCAGTCCTCCGAAAGACTCTTACAAAGGTCCTACTAATCTTCAAGCTTCAACGGGTGCTACATTTTTAGATATTGCAATTCATAAAAATTAAAAATTTATAATTTTCTTTTGCTTGTATGCTTACACATTTAAAAATTATCAGAAAAAATATTTTAAAAAAATGCAGGCGGAAGAATCAACCGGCCCGGTAAGATGCTGGAATTGACGGTGCAAATATCGGCGTCGTGAGCATTGTGACTGCTAACAATGCCATGGGGTGGCGGTACTAGAACCGTACCGTGTCCACCCCTACCTTCCACTGGTGCGCAATCGAGACAAATCAGAGAAGAGGAATTCAATGGATTGGAGAAGAGGAATTTGTTGAAGATGTTGTCGGAATTTCTACATGGATTAACTTGCGATTTCTTCGTCAATTTGATTTTCTTAATTCGCCCAATCTATCGAGGTGAGTACGTAGACATCTAACGCTAGATTATTCGTATAGGTTTGAAATTCACGTTTGTAATCTCGTATGATTGATTATGCGATCTATTTGATTATAATTTGAATATTGATGTATTATAAATATATGATTCTATTGGAATCGATTAATTGAAGAAGGCCAGGTACGTTTTCTTGCTCCAATTTCCATTGTATGTGTGTCAATAAAATTAGATGGATAATTTAAAAAAATAAAAATGGATTGTAACAATTAAAAAATTTAAAAATCCAATACAACATTAAAATTATGAAATACGAAGTACTACATTAATAAGAGAGGAAGTTCAACATGTTTAATACTCCCTCTGTCCCTGAAATTAGTTCCCTTATTGACTTTTTGGAAAATTATGGGATGAATATTTATGCTTTGACTTTCCCATTTTACCCTCCAACCCTAAAATAAAGTGGAGAAGCTCAAATCATTGAATAGTGTAAAGTAGGATTAAAAAATAAATTGAAGTGCACATCTCCATCAATTCGGCAGTTGAGAACAATAAAGCAAACAACTTATACCCACTAGATCACAACAGTGCGGCAGAGCAATAAACTAGGCCTAAATGACATTTCAATTTTTTGGGGGGAAATTCGTACTTCCCTCCAAAACTAAAATTAGAATTACATCATTTTTACACACTTTTATTTAAAGAATGCATTAAATGCATTCATTTAATCCTTCTCTTCTTAACCTTCTTCATGGCCCCTCCTGCTGACTCTTCTTTGGAATCTTCCAGTTCCTTTTCTTTTTCAGCAGATGAGTCATCCTCTTTTGACAATCTCCCCTAAGTGATTTAAGTCTCTTTTTCTAACCTTTTCACTCCTGCAACAGAAACCGAAAACAACAACAAAGGTGTAACACCCTAATCCGTCTAGGTCTGCAGCCTCTTTCGGACTAAAGTATTAATTTGGTAATCATAAAATTTAAAAC